ATGCTCAAGCTCGCATTTTTGTTGGTGAACTGGTGAACCATCCCTCACCACATCTTTCCACCGCTGCCTCGCACCTTCGTCACCGGAGCGCTGACCCGCTGTCTGGGCGGCATGGAGGAGATGTGCCAAGCCTCGTATCGCAGATTTCGGGTGAATGACTGGTGATTGGATTCTGGCAATGTGCCCATGGTGAATGACTTACGCAAAAAAATATCCGCAAAGATGAGGATACAACCATCAAAATGATGAGGATCTATCATGATTTAACCACTTCTAAATGGATTTTTGGAACCATAGAAGTTATATCCATACTAGCACCAGCTAAAGTTCACGGGGGCCCTGAAAACTGGGTTCCCTTTTCGATGATTTTAGTACTGGATACAGCCCAACTGTCGGGTTTGAAGATGTGCTGCTTGGTGGCTTCAACCTGTTCCCCGCTGACAAATCAGTGGTTTTGGCTCATCGCAAGTAAGAGGAGGAAAACAAGTTATAGTTCAAATATGTTCAAATCACTAGTAAAATATGTGATAAATCCATTTTGGTGCACAGCTTTTGAGCCATCCCCCAGTGATGGATGGCTACTTGCTGCCAACTCAAAATCCACAACCAATATCCGGGTGAGTCGCATTGCCCAAACTCAGATCCAACATGTGCACTTCGGTGAAGGGAGTTTCATGGTGAAACAATAAGAATATCCCATGAAACCCAGATCGTCCCATTCAACCAGTTGGATCCAGTTGGTATAAAGAAAACACAACCGTCAGGGCTCACCTGGCCGCTGCATCCTTGGATGCCCTGCATAATGCATCTGCTGCTTCCTCCCTCTTCTCAGGATCTGCGCTGGGCAAGGCCTGGTACCGTCAGCGTAAGTCCAGTAATCCCGGTTTTTAGTAAGCCCGATAGGAGGTCGATGGAGGTTAAACATACTTAAGCCAAAACAAAAACATCTTGAATCTGGGGTGAACTCTTTGGGAAAGCACTCCTACACTTCCATGATTTTTGCGATTCGCCCCAACTTGGCGGCAACTGATCGAGTCTTGTAAGGGTCAGTAGCATTTTGATGGGACCTGAACCCTGGCTGTATACCCACAGCCTCGCACGCGTCGTAGAGGTCTGGGAAGGTCTCACGACAGTTGGGCCTTTTTGGCACTGAGGCTTGGAGAAGAAATCTGCTGAGGGATTGAAACTCCATCCTGACATCTGATGACCAATTGCTGGCGGCATTTCTATGGTTTCCTTTCATGCACAGAATCTGCGGCCAATGGGCTAATGGGGATAGAACTATTCAGTGAGAACATCCTGGCGATACCGTCATCAGTTGGAAATGACACCGGGTACAGCACTGCAGGCTCACCTTAGAAGATCTATCTGCAAAAATGTCAGACCTGCCGCAGTTTCCAAACAGCTCCTGTTTTTCAACACCGGTACTGTAATCAGCTCCATGGTTGGAAAATGATCGATTTCGTTCGATTGTGTTTTTCTAGTTGCCCATTGGGGATTCAGTATTTTTCGGCCTTCACTTAGAGATCTTAGAGTGGATTTTCCCAGATTTTCTCATCGCCATGGAACATTTCCCAGCCATCAACGCTAGCTGGGGCCTGGAGAAATGAAGTTCTCTGGGAATCTTCAGCAGCACCTCTCAGCGAGGCACCATGGGAAAAAGATGGAAACCATGAGGAGAAACATGGAGAAACCATGAGAAACCAACATTTTCATATGGAAAAATATGGAAAACATGAGGTTTCCCCTATTCCCAACATTTTGAAAAGATCCCATGTGATTTCGCGCTGACGAGGCGCCGTTCCTTTCGGGATGTCATCATCAACCACCAGACCTGGCACCTGCGAGCCCCGCTCAGGCTGTGTCAACGACCCGAAAAGGGAAGGCCGGTACTTACCCATGTGGGAAAAAAACGAATCACCATTGTCATTAGAAAAAAAAGTGACTACACAAATACTAGACATGTGTATATATATTATATATATATAATTTTTATAAATTATATGTTCACATATTTAAGAATTACAGAAATGTTGGATTTTCCATTGCCAGGCTACAAACAATCCAGCGAAGGGTATGGGTCAAAAAAATATCAGCGCCTAGGGATGATTACCCTCCCATAAGTTACATAGATATGGACAACCCACCAGGAATGTACTTTCCATGCTTGAGTCTATCTCAGGCGTAAGTTCAGTACCATTGAAAATAACATGATGATTAATGTTCACATGATTTTCCTGGAAACCAGATACTTCAATTACATTCAATTACCATGAGTGCATGTGTCAATCCATCAAAGTTGGCATTCTGCACGTTCCCTATTCAAGAAAATATTCATGGTGATTTGCGGATCTATGACTACACGTATCTGTAATTTTAAAGGTTGGCAGGCCAGGATTCTATTTTTAAACAAATCCAAACTCAGATTGTTTGTTGTATATATATAAACTATATATATATAATATATCACATAATGTTCCCACTATGTTTGCTTAAAGATCACCATTGTTTGATGGTTAAACCACGATTTGTTCAAACGAAAACAAAAACAACACACACACAGAGCCATTCTTCATTGGTGAAATCCCCTTTTTGGTCGCTTCGCAACGGCAACTGACCGCATCGGAATTTGCTCACGGTAGAGCGCGTGAGCGAGCTCTCTCAGAACGACTAAATCACAACAAAGCCTGTTTGACCTGTTTCGTTTGTTAAACTTTGTGAGACCATTATTATTCTAAACTGTGTGTGTTTTTTAACGATCAAGTCGAGACAAAATACTAGATATTATCATAGACTTTACAAGAGTTCTAGTATCATCCTTAAAATCCTATTGTGCGTCTGTTTTTGGCCTATGTTGCGCTCATTTCTTGGTTTTGGGGCAATGTTTAACGTATGACTCAAGGGATTCACTTTAGGGGAACTCAAAAGACCATGAGCATCCTTCCAAATCGCACAAACTGTCCAAAACACACAGATGGCTCAATCTGGGAATTCCGGGAACACAATGCACCCGAATTGTCACAACATTGAAAATCGGTTCGATCTAGGCTTGACATAGGCGTGAACATGACAAACGTGCAGTTTCGCTGGCTTTTGCATGTTTGGGGCTGTGGTGTTTTTCCTCGAACGACTTGACATGACCATATTATATTGGTATCATATTGGCATTGAAGGATCTATGTTGATGTGAAGGGGAGCGATTTGGATCCATGTTCAGGTAATTTTATGTCATGTGGATCTATTTTTGAGCCTATTTTGGAGGATTTAGGGGGCCATTTTGGGCTTCTGGCAATGTTGGACCTATGTCGGACCTGTATTTGGTAGCTTAGCCGATTTTACCCCCTGTTCAAGCACGTGGCAAGACACACCATTCTAGAGCAAACATGGCCACCCCAGGGCCATCCCATTATATATTACACCATATTACACCCAGATAGTTGTTAAATCTCCAGTGCTGAATCCAGTGGAGAGTGCCTCAAAAATCAGGCCCTGCCTTCAGCTCTTCCCTGCGCAGGCCATGCCACACTGCGCCCGCCTTTTTCAAGGCGTCGCACAGCGCCGCGGTGCATGCGGCGCGATGGGGCGCAGCGGCGGGCACCGGTAGCCTGGCATTTGCTGGGGAAGATGATTTGGGGGTTTCCATAAATAGAGCTACCCCAAAATGGATGGTTTATAATGGAAAATCCTACTAAAATGGATGATTTGGGGATGCCCCTATTTTAGAAAAACCCCATTTAGGGCCTTAGGGAGGGTTTGCATCCAGAGGTTTTGATGGATTTGCATAGCCAGAAGCACATATTTCGGGAAGGTGTTCACCGTTCAATGGGGAGTTCATCAGCACGATTTGGTGAGATGATTCTATGTATCCGAATGCCTTCAGGAAATTGGGAATGTGTTTGGTTCTTAACCATATCAATGGATCCAGATCAAACATTTGAAGATTCCCCACATGCTCAGCATGCAGAGCCAAAATCCAAAGCCCCAGTGCTGGAAGAAGCCTGGTTTAAGTGCCTCCAAGCGAGACAAAAATTGGGAATAATGATACCCCAAAGGCCCAGACCAGCAACACCTTCTAAGGCGAAAGGTGAAGTGAAGAGGGAAAAAAACACCTCCAGTGTGGGGGAAAAAACCCTTCAGCCAGGCACTAACCCAAAGAAAATCAACAGAGCATCACGAGCATCAGAACGGCAGACAACTGTAGGCCCCGACTGCCGGCACTCTGCAAAAATGAAAAAAATTGAAGATGTTGCATGGCTGTATGGTGCTGTTTTATCAAGCAAAAAAAACAACATCCATCACCAAACAGCACCCGATCACAGCCTTGGCATTACCCTGGAACGTTTCTCCGGCGGCTCTCCTGCAAATTAGTTAAGCCATTGGGCACTCCAAAGGTTGGGGAAATCATACTAAACATCTGGGGATGGATTCAAACCCATGGTACATCATGGCACTAGTACTTTTGTTTTGGGGGGATGAACCTCCATCCCTGCTATTTTGGTCACCAGAGTACATACCAGGGATTTGACCCATGGCCATCAGATCACACAATCTCCAATGGTTCTTTGGGGGGGCAAAAAATGTCAACATGTCACATGGCCGGAGATGATGAAAGTCCAAACCCAAGCGCCGCACTTGGCCTCTCCTTCAGCCATGCTGGCAGCGCTGTTGAGGGGTGTCCCCGACTCATCGGACATGTTCCAACTGGAATTTCCAGACTTTGCTATTCAGGTCTGAAACCATACTGTGAATGGTTGCGAAATCCTGCAGCACCGAAAGGATGGTTGAAACCCTATAAATCATGGGATAAACGATCTATCAGCTGGTGCAGGATTTCGCAACCATCCACAGTATGGTTTCAGTTTCCAACATGAAACTCTAAACCTTTGAATTATGCAGCAAGTTTTTTTCGACAGGTCACAGGCTAAAACATCGTGTGTTTCTTCAAATTCAACCGAACGTGAAGAACTGTAAGATTAGTGTGTTTGAAAGCTGTCACCTGCATGTTCATGATAGTCAAATAAGGAGTAATTAAACATATGGTTTATGATATCTCTATCTATATATTTATGATGCTATCATGGTGGAGTCCATGTCACGCTTTGCGACGCAGTTTCCACGGCTCAAGCTGACAGCACAACCACGGCGGACGTCAAATATCAAGAGTTTGGAATCAGTGGTTTCAATGGTTGGAAAACCCCCCGAAAGATATTAGCTAGGATCATCATCTCAAATGGGGCAGCGGCAGACAAAAAAACATCACCCAGTTTGGACCAATATTGTGTAATGTGGGAAAGCCGATGCCATAAGCCTACCATTAGGTTGGCAATATTGGAGATAGTACACAATAACCATGAATCATACCACAATAATCATGGCAATAAACCATGGCAATAAACCGTGGCAATACTGGGTTTATTATTTGGCAATAAACCATGGTTTACACACCCCATCCATACACAGAAACGGTACCGGGGCCGGACGGATGGGTGTCGCGTTCAAAGCTTTGAAGAGCTCTGCGGCCACTCGATCCTCCTGGATGGAGTGGCTATGGCTGGCTATGGATTCACCGTATATTCCTATCATATTCCCATGGATTCCATAGCATTAAAAAAGGCCATATATATATATATAAATATATGGATATGGATATATATATATAGTGACTATAGTGGGAATGATAGGAATATGGCTAGGACTTTTTGTTGCCCATGGATATTCACCTTGTATATTCCTATCATTTCCCATGTTGGACCCCCCAGCCAAGCGTTTTGCGCACCTGGCTGCGTTGCACTTCCGGCTCGGAGCTCCGACGTTGGGCCCTCGGAGATCCATGGAGATCCCACAACAAATAGCCATTGAAAATGGCCATGGAAATAGTGGATTTACCCATTAATATTGGTTGTGGGTTAATGATTATAGAATAATATTGGTTAATACATAATATGTACCAACCATTATAATAGTTACATAATGGTGGTCAATAAATAATGGTTATATAACAGTGTAATAATATGGTTATATGGTTATATAATGGTTAATAGCTATAATAATAAATATAACTATTTAATAGCTATATAACGGTGTTTTGTAATAATGGTTGTATAATAATGGTTAATAAATAATGGTTATAATGGTTATATAATAATGGTTAATATTTAGTAAAATGGTTAATATTTAGTAATACTATTAATAATGGTTATATAACTTTAATATTGTCATAGTTTACTGTAATAGTGTTTAGTATAGTTTGATATGACTTTAATAATAGTATTAACTACTAAATTTTATATAACTTTATATCAAACTATATTAAACACTGTATGCCTAAATTAAATAAACTCATCGTTTTTGGTGCATCCCAGATGTTTCTAGCCCCTGCCTTTCAGCCCTTTCGGCCCTGGGCGATCCCAACACCTGCCGTTCATAGAAGATCTGCAAGGCATGGCGCCAACTGTCGACCTCCTCTGCCGGCAATCCGCGCAGTTTCGCCGCCTGGGGCAAGAACTGAACAAAAAAAAACACCCGATTTGTGTGTGTGTGTGTTGAATCAACTAAACATGATCAAACATGATCTGATTAAATCTACACAACCAGAGATGATATTCATTGGGTGAATGACAGGGCATTTGTCGAAAAATGGCACAAGACTGTTGCTGTTGAAACATGGGGGAAGTATTTAGATTTCCTTTCGACCGGTTCTCTCTTTGGAACGGTTGATTTCAATCGGAAAGACCCGGCCCGGTCATTTTGGTGACCGCTCAGACCGCTCAGACCTGTTTGCTGATTGATCAATTGTGCTTCTGATTGATCATGACTGATTCATTCATAAATCATCATAAATCCATGCGTTGATGAATTTGGTTTTAAATAGAATAATTATATACCCAGAAAACTCCAGCATTTTCCCCATCAAACTGCCATGAATTGGGAGTATCACCATTTTCCAACAGACCCACATATCATATTGGTGGGTAAACACAACACAAATCACGCCATCATTTGGCTGGTGGTAAAACTCCATAATTAACTTTGTAGGTTAGTTCCCCTTCTAGATTACAAACCAAGCTGTTCACTTGGCCAACTCAATTTATAACATTTTATAACCCCATAGGCCTTGATGTTCACCTAGTCATCAAACATTGCCTCTAGGGGTGATTTCCCAAAACGCCTCGCAGCACTGGAAGGTGGAACGCAAAGCTTCCAGGTGACCTCGGGATTTATTGAATGAATCCTATTGAAATTTGGCAGTTTGGGACTTTGGGATCCAGCTTTTGGAAAAAAAACATCTGGATTCTCTTGAAATTCTGAATGGGGGTGAACAACCAGACATGTGTTTCTTGATCTACGCCTGGGGATTTATTGGTCCTCACAAGAGCGGGAACTTGACTGACCACCATACAAGTTCAGCAAGTTGCTTTAGAGAGAAAAAAATGGAAAAGTGCCCAGCAATGCCCAGCATGGATAATCACTCATCAATATTGCGAAAATCTGTCGCTTAGGGTCTCAAATCTCAAAATTTGACCTACATCCAATCATAAAAAGAACAACTCAAGGGAATCGCACAGTAGTCATTCGACTGGACCCTAGCCCCCCCGAAACACACCCCATGAACAGTTTCATTTCAGCCCCCAAATCGATGGTGCATAGTTGAATGTGTCTGTACTGCATGAATTGGTTGACTCGCCACAGGGTCCATGGAAGTTCTAAGCAATTCAGCCTGCGTTGCAGCTAGGTGATTTTAGCAACTATCTTTCCATCGACTCTATGTAGCAGCGGAGTGGATGTTTGTTTAGCAAACACCATCCGCTGGCAGGTCACTCCATAGATTCAGGGGTTGCACAGCGAATTGACTCAATGTCTTAACCCAAGCGAAGCAACTGCGACTGTAGCTTGAAAGATACTACCTCTGTACAGAACAGATGTGTTCAGCTTGGAAAGACATCAGGGGCCTTAAGAAAGACCTGGCGGCAAACGCGCAAACCGCGCGTTCAATTTGGGCCGTTGAAAATGGCAGGTTGCTATATTAATATCAGGCTGCACCAGTTTCGTCAAAATGCCAAGGTTCAGTTGGGCCTTCCATCACTCCAAATAACCCAACAATAGAAAGGAATCCATGACATGAAACAAACCAGATTGATTTATTTGGATGTATTTGGATCAGAGTACTGCTATCTGGCTGGCAGATTTCCGCGAAAAACTTTGCACCTTGGCATCCTAGTCCATTAGCACAAAGTCAATCTGAGGGTTTCTGCAGTTTCCAGCAGATTCTGTACATCAGGTCACTGAGAGGGAAATTGCAGGCGTGCTGTCGATGGATCTTCGGGGCTAGTTTAGGCATGTGCTGAATCATGATGAAACATGTTCAAAATTATCAAAGATTGAAGGTTCTGTCGGTTCTGTTTCCAATAACCAGTTTGACCCATCGACAGCTCAGTCGAGTTTTGTTTTATGCTCGGAGCTCAGCTTTGGACTCCCATTGGATGATGGTGAGCGTTGTCGCTCCGCATACCTCAGCCGCGGTGATGGCGTTCCCCGAAATGCCAAGGTTGAAACATGCTGAAACTGGGTTTGTTGGGGCCCGCCCAGTTACATCACCACGAGTTTCAACTGACTCGGTGCCAGCTCCTTCCCAAACACCTCCAGAGCTTCCTGGCCAGGTCTCTTCCACAGGGTGAAGAGTTGCGAAAATCTTTGGGGTCTCGTGGATGAAAGCGGGACTTTGCATTTGGGTCTCAAATGTCTGAACTAATGATGTTTCTTTAGCAGAAAGATGCCTCCCAAACGTCCCAAAACATTTTCCTTTGGAGAGATAAAACAGTGACTCGGGAACGCGTCAAGCAACCAGTGAAACACTGCACAGCTCGGATACTCTGTGAGAGTTCTTTGCTGCGGGCCCCAAGACATATCATATCATCATGACGCAGTACCACTATTACCGCACAAGGCGGTGGCGGAAGTTTCAGGGGTAGGACATTATAGGAGAGGTTGGTTGCTGTGAATCACGGATGGCAGAGCGAATCCACTGATGGACCGAAAGGTGGTTGGAGTTGTGTTTTTTGGAATGGTTGCAATGGTTGGAGCGGTCACCTCACCCACACTTGCTGGCTGTAGTGTGGTGTAGCGCAGCTGTAGTTGTAGTTGTAGATGTAGTTCTAGTGCAACGTAGTTAGTGTAGTGTAGTTGCAGTTGTAGTTGTGGTGTGGTGTAATTAGTATAGTGTAGTGTAGTCTAGTGTTGTGTGAAGTAGTGCAGTTGTAGTTGTAGCTGTAGTTGTAGAAGTAGTTGTATTTGTAGTTGCAGTTGTGGATGTAGTTGTAGTGTAATTCAGGTAGTGTAGCGTAGCGTGGCGTAGCGTAGTGTAGCGCGATGTAGTGTAATTTGTGTAGTGTAATTAATGTACTGTAATGTAGCCTAGTATATTTGCATTTGTATTTGTAGCAGTTGTAGTAGTTGTAGTTGTTGTAGTAGTCGTCGTCGTCGTAGTCGTAGTCGTAGTCGTAGTCGTAGTAGTCGTAGTAGTAGTCGGAGTAGCAGTAGCAGGAGCAGTAGCAGGAGCAGGAGCAGTAGTAGTAGTACTAGTACTAGTACTAGTACTATCAGTAGTAGTAGTAGCAGTAGTAGTAGCAGTAGTAGTAGCAGTAGTAGCAGTAGCAGTAGCAGTAGTAGCAGTAGCAGTAGCAGTAGCAGTAGCAGTAGCAGTAGCAGTAGCAGCAGCAGTAGCAGTAGAACTAGCAGTAGCAGTAGCAGTAGCAGTAGACCTAGCAGTAGCAGTAGCAGCAGCAGCAGCAGCAGTAGGAGTAGTAGTAGTAGTAGTAGGAGTAGTAGTAGTAGTAGTAGGAGGAGTAGGAGTAGGAGATAGGAGATAGGAGTAGGAGTAGGAGTACGAGCAGTAGGAGTAGTAGTAGTAGTAGTAGTAGTCGTCGTCGTCGTCGTAGTAGTAGTAGTAGTAGTAGTAGTCGTAGTCGTAGTCGTAGTCGTAGTCGTAGTCGTAGTCGTAGTAGTAGTAGTAGTAGTAGTCGTAGTAGAAGTAGAAGTAGAAGTAGAAGTAGTAGTAGTGGTGGTGGTGGTGGTAGTAGTAGTAGCAGCAGCAGCAGTGTGGTGAGGTGGTAGTGGTAGTTGTAGTTGTAGTTGTAGCTGTCTATCTATCTATCTATCTATCTATCCATCCATCGATCTATCTATCTATCAATCTATCTATCTGTCTGTCTGTCTGTCCATCTGCAAGCTTGAAAATGAAGCTATTCTGCGAGACTTCCTCACTTTTTGAACTTGACATCATCAAAAACGCAGCAATTCTGCGAGACTTCCTCAATCTTTTTACTTGACAACGTCAAAAACGCAGCAATTCTGCGAGACTTCCTCAATCTTTTCACTTGACGGCGTCAAAAACGAAGCAATTCTGCGAGACTTCCTCAATTTTCGAAGTTGACAACATCAAACACAAAGCAATTCTGCGAGACTTCCTTCGAAAATGGAAAGTTGAGTGCAGAGCTGACGGCCTCGTACCAATGCGTTTTGCGATTTCTCCACTCCATCTGTCTAAAGTACTGTGCCTGCCACAAAAAAAGTGAGGCCAGGTCATACGAAGTGCTGCAAGTGCTGCACCTATCACACAAAATCATCTTACCAAACCTGAAGATCTGATGCTCCAAAATGCAACCCTTCTCAGGAGCTCAGCGCCCGGACCTCCTAACATCTCTGATGAACATGTCTCTTGTACTGCGCCTGCCACGAAAATGCATCTTTCCATATCCTCTTCAAATGTCCCACGCCTGCCAACGCTTTTGAACTGCTACCTGCTACAAAACCCTTGACAAGGTGCACACTTTTGACAAGGTGCACAATCCCTTGCGCCTTCCATGCAAAACGACATCTGAAGGTCCAAAAGTTTTCCGAACATGTGGTGTTTTTGACATTTTGACTTGGAAATGTGCTTCGCGCTACAGCGGCGTGCACTTTTTCGACATCTCAACTTCCAAAAGTGGTCCGAACGTGAGATGCTTTCTACAATTTGATTTCCAAATGTGCTTCATGCCGCACGACGTGCAATGTTTTCATCTCTCATCTGGTCAGACGGCTCCGCACCCTTTAGCGAGCCTACTTTTTGACCCTCCGGAGCCACAAATCATTGGAAAAACATTGTGTTTCACGACTTTTCTACCTTTTCCCGCACCTGCATGTTCTTTCTTCTGGTGCTTTCTCTTCTCTGATCTTCTCTCTTCTTCTCTTCTCTTCTCTGACTCTTCCCACCTCTGCTTTTCCATATGTCCGTATTGTCGGAAGTTTGACTTCTAAACTTCTTTGGAATATACAATAATTAATGTTTATGATATTGTACTGCCATCATTTCACCATCGTCATTAGTATGTATATATGTACATACATGCATATATATATATATATACACCATAATGGCCACAATGATGATGATCCTGTCATCATATCACATCATATCACCATGGTCATTAATATATCATCACCATATGTATGTATTGTATATATATACGTATATATAATGGTGATATGATGATCACCTGGCCTCGCCCACGGAGAGGTACAGCTCCACCAGGCACAGAATCGCCGCCTTGCCTTGATAAAAACCGTGAGGCGGGGGCTGGGGGCATACCCTGAAGAAATGGAGCAAATATGGCAATTTTTATGGGAAAACATGGGAAAAACATGAGAGAACCATGGAAAAACATTGGAAAACATGGGAAAAGTATGGAAAAGGCATGTTTATGAAAATTGTGTAATATACTATTTAGGTACATGATGTAATAAATAAGCTGGATTAAGTTGGTTTGTCCCAAACTGATGCGGATATTGTTTTCCCAAAAGCAGTACATCAAAGTGGCCTGCCAGGCCAAAATGAACAGAAAACACTCATGAAACATCATGAAAAATCATGAGACATGCTGTTTTTTGTGGGTGTTCATAGGTTTCCCCTGGGAACACGCACTTCGTGGCATCGCACGACACCTTTTTAGTGACCAATTTCCGAGGTGCGAGTCTCAGCCACATCGCACGACAGGGCGGTGCTGAGTGCCGGCAGGATCAGTACCAAATGGTCCAAGGCTTGCCTTTCAGGGAAAAACATCCAGGTTAGATCAGTCATTTGTTTTCCAATGTTTTCACAGATGGAGTATGGATCCAAAAAAAAACAGTCAGTCGGCGCCTCGGAGGCAAGCGTCTTAGGCTCAAGGGTAACAAGGAGAGAGCCAAATCTGCCTCTGTCACCTGGAAAACCATGGCGAGATTCGGTCACCCGGATCTCTGATGTCTGATCTGGAAAGCGAAAATGTGAACTCGAAATGATTCGGTCAGAAAGAATGTGTGGAACTCATCAATTTCTTGAATTTCTTGGATTCTCCAAGTCACCAGGGGGAGCAAAATCTCCATAGCTCTCAGGGGCAAAATGGCGGCCAGCAAGCGCTCCAATAGACCTGGCGAAAAGAGATGAAGGGTGAACTCAACCACTCCCAGCAGGTTAGTGTAGCACCTCAAAAGATGGACATGAAAAAGTTCAATTCACATTGAATCAGTGGTATAAATGCCGTGGCATTGGACCATTCACAACAGGGGTTACAACAGGGGACTTACCAAGCATAGCATAGCCTTGCCATCCCCAAGGCGTCCAAGGCGTCCAAGGTACGGAGGCTTTTCCGCTTCAGCTCCCCCGAGCTCTGCCCGTGGCATTGGACGAGTTTCGATGCCAAGACCTCCGCGAAGTCCTCGCAGCACTCCGGGTGCTGCATCAGCTCCTGGAGGAAAATGGCACTAACAATGGTGTACCAAGGGGGATAACAATGGGATAATGGGAGACTAAGGGGAAGATGGATGAAAATGGATGAACATGGATGAAAATGGATGAAAATGGATGAACATGGTGCATGAATAGTAGTTAAGACTGGTGAATAGTGAATAGCCTCTGGTAAATCAACCAGTTTTCTATCGAAAATCACCATGGACCATCTGCCAAGGCACCTGCAAACTTTCCAAAGAGGCTGCCTTGGCCTGGCAAGCTGCTGGTTTCAAGGGCTCTGAACATATGAAAATCATCAAAAATCAATTGGTGATCATCCCATCTTTATGGAAAACATCAATAGGTGAAACCATGAGAAGCTGAAGGTTTCATCTGAAGAGAATCCAACAAATCTGATCTGGTCAACCTGGGTGGCCGTCTCTAGCTCTCTTGTTTGCTGCATCTGAAATCTTGCAAAGTTGAAGAAGGAGCAGAGTTACAAATGCCAGAACTGGAAAGGTTGCGTGCGTCACGAAACTCAAGAATCTGGACTTTCAGAAGTTTTACCCGCTAACTATGGCTGTCTGGAAAATACTTTATCTCCCTGGATATACTCATGTTCCAACAGGAGCAAATCTCGGTGGGTTGTAAATCCCCATAACTTTCTTGATTAATTCCCCTCCCAGGGTACAAATCCAACAAACTAATACTAGCTTTAACTTAGCCAACTTATTCTATGATATATGACTAACTGACTAATCCCAAGACTCAGTGTTTAATGTGGTAAACCCAAGGCCATAAGCATCCCCAAGTCATCACCATTCTTGTGGGTGGTAAAAAACATGCCCGGTCATGGTAGCACATGAATTTTCAGCTGTCCATTATTCGTCATTGTTCATCTATTAAGTTATATAAGTTATATACCCATTATTACCTACTGTTCATGATTGACACATTGTCACCATGAACCAACTATTCATCAACGTGCCGCATGGGGAACCCCATGGTGGCGACCTGACGGTTGGAAGACGTCAAGCCCTTCAACGCCGCGACCAGGAGGCGATGCCCTCGAGAGACGATGGAGGATCCCGTGATGAAAAACCATGGGTTTCTGGGGGATTTCTATTCCAGTAGGGGAATAAATAGGGGAACATGGGATTTACCATGGGATTTACCATGGGATTTACCACAACAAAAAGTTCCATGGTGAAACCAGCAACAAGCCATGGTGGTTTTCACTCAACTTTGACCCCAACCAAAACGTAACGGTTTTTGACACAGAAATCTTGGGAACCGGATCTCCCCATGGATCGCGCTGTGCCTTCGTTCGCCCAGCTTGCTGGTTTGGGCTTGGAAGGTCGTGCTGGCGCCTGATATTGAGCAACAAACATGGCGATAAATGTCCATGCCATGGACTATAGATGGGGTATATGGAATTATATGGACCCATGTAACAATCCGAAAATATTGAAGCAACAATTTCTTGGTAGCAGTAAATCAATGTAAGCAATACATTCAAACAACAAAACGGTGGCCTTCCCGAGACTTGGCTTTGCGATTTCGCTTGGAGGTGTGGAATCTTGACCCATTTGCAGCTCAAATCTGAGATTTCTGCAACGGGTTTACAGGATTCCCATTATGATGGTTTTTTGTTCAGGGATGTTCAGGGAACCTGAACCTCAGTGGTTCACCAAAATCCAATTTCTTTTGTTCAGACATCACCCAATATCATAGTTAATCACCCAATATATTATTAGTACGTATGGTTAACTATCATAATGATAATGACTAAGACTATGACAATGATAATCATTATTCTTTCGGTCCAGGTCCCTATCACCCAATATCTGCCTGCACAGTCGCGGCAGCCGCGGGAGACAGCTCCGGTAGCAGCGCGGTCAAGGCGTTGAAAGGCAGTGGATGCCTTGGTTGCAAGACAAAACATGGGATTTTGCCCAATCAGAGGATTGACTGGAGCGTGGGTTGAACCAACGAAACAATGAGCATGGGAGCAAAAAAATAGAAAAAAGATGGAACCTACAAACATGATAAACCCAACAGTTTGCCAGATTGACCAGGCGGGTTTGTTTCGAAAATGGAGAAGAAGTACCCAGGGGATTTTGGGCGAGATTTCGGCACACCCACGTTGGTGATATGACTGCCCCGGTGATATGTGCATGGACGCAGCTACGCAGCTGTAGCTATCACTATGACACAACTGCTTTTTCTGATGCTTACTGCTGCTATTAGGTCATTCTTACACAAGGTATCCCAGGCTTTAAGGGGGGAAACCATATTGCTATCAGCTGCTATCCATGTTGGTATCCATCTACTATCGGGATCATCTGAGCCCACAGAAATCAAGCTTCAAATCTCCTGCGGCTGCACGGAAAGCATCACCATTCGCCACATAGAGCCTTCAAGGACGTTGTGGCTGGAGGAATCACACACAGCAGTGAGTTGGCTTGCATGGGCATGGTGCGTTCTATCCCTAGCGGCCAGTGAACTACACATGTTGGATGGTTGAATCGCCACATTTGCTGCTTTGAAGTCTCTTTTCTGACAAAACAGTCATTTCATGTCAAATCCTCGTCTTTGCTTTTTGGATCTCACCATTTGCATTTCATTTACCATCTGGTCATCAAAGATGGATTGGTGATTCTAAGTCACCGTTAAATCACCATTTAAATCACCATTTAAATCACCATAAAGTCCTATTAAATCCCATTAAATCCCATTAAATTCCATGAAATCACCATTAAATCACCATTAAAATCACCATTAAAATCACCATCAAATCCCCAACTCGATGAAGGTCCGGTCGCCAGGCTACGCTCGTAGGCTTCGCAGCGCTGCTTGCTCGATGCTGGCCACGGCTCTCGTAGGCCGTGGCCACATGCCACAAGCTGAGAGCCGGTCGCCGCGCAGCCAGGTGATTCGGATCTTACCCCGGAAAAATCATGGGAACGTCATCTAGAAATGGTGATATGTATATATATATATATTACAGCATTATATAATTGTATATGATTATGTATATATATATATACTGGGGGTATAATCTAACGGTATAATGAGATCATATGCGACACAAACCGACAATCAAAGATGGGAAATCCTTGAACTAGCCATGGAGGTTTATAGCTGGGAAAATCATCAAACCAAATGGGTCATTCTCCATGGCAATGTTAAATTACCAGAGGGTAACTTCTATGTTATCATTGTCTCTGTCGTTGTTGATGATGATGATGATGGCGGCCTTTGACATATCTTACTGAACTGGGAACATCAGACATGACCAACGAGAAGGTGCGAAGTAATGGATCATCACAAACTCTTATCTGATTCCATCATATGGGCTTGTCTGAAACTAGTGCACCCATAAATCCACTGGTGAATCACAATTGTTCAATCAAAACGGCCATTTAAGTGGGGTTGACTCTCATGTTCAGAAACACCCAAATATCATACTGCTAGTCAAATATGCTACCGCATCGTATCACTATATAATCAAACGTGGCAATGGACAATCTCACATGTATAGATGATTTTCTCAGCTAGAAACCTCATCTATAGAGTATTTCCCAGCGGCCATGTTTGATTGTCAGAGGATCCCACCATTTTATCAATATCATTATTCCCAAAAAAAGAACAATCCATGAGACTTGGCAACTCTCTGGGTAAATTAAAATATTTCACTCATCTGAATTAAGGCCATTTGGGGACGATTTCCCTTACCAGTGAGGTCGCAGTGAGGTCGTTATTATTTATGCAGAACTATACCAATTCACCCATTAATCATTACTAGCCATTTATTATTGGCGATCATCCCCATCAATCATTAGTTATTGATGATTTCACCAGATACGATCGTGAGTATTTATCCATCAATAATCATTTCTAGCCATTTATTACCCTCTGATAAACTACCATAGCTATTCAAACATCACCCTTTTTTTATTTTTCGGTAAACCAACTTTAAATATTTTAAATCACCCAGTTAGTTCATCCAAAAAATCCATAGCAAAGCGTTAGTTTACCTAGCCATTTATTGGTTGTATCTGGTTCCCATTGGTTCCCCATCACGTCGTCACCTCGAAGCAACTCCTGCAGCAAATCCGTGAGAACTGGTCCCTTCAGGGACGGCAGCCTGACGACTTTCCAGGGACGGCAGAGGGGGAAATTCCTGGAGAAATATAGGGAGAATCATGGGATTTAATGGGATTTAATGGGATTTGATGGGATTTAATACGATTTTATGGTGGTTTAATGGGATTTAATAGGATTTAATGGGATTTAATAGGATTTTATGGTGGTTTAATGGGATTTAATAGGACATACCCTCTGGTAAACGTTTACATAGCTGTTGAGATGTTCACCATCTTTAGTGGGTAAATCAACTATTTTGACTGGGCCATTTTCAATAGCGAACTGTTAAATTACCAGAGGGTATACATCATATAAATATATCAAATAAATAGGGATTGAACCATCAAGCATGGTGGTATAATGGGGTAGAATGGGATAATAATGGAACATTATGCTGATCCAAAAGATTGGATAATATCATGATGAGATACGTTGGATAACACATGACCAGCACATTTGGATGATTAACCATTTATTATGAAACAATGGGGGAGAATAATGGGAGAAAAATTCACCACGGGGTTATAAGAAGTGATTAACTAATGATTAACTAATAGTTAATCAGTTAACTAATGGTTACTAATGGTTACTAATGGTTACTAATGGTTACTAATGGTTACTAATGGTTACTAATGGTTACTAATGGTTACTAATGGTTACTAATGGTTACTAATGGTTACTAATGGTTACTAATGGTTACTAATAGCGTATTAGTGCAGAATCATCGATGACTAACCAGGAAATCCTAACTAGAAAAGGGCCGGCATTTCAATGGGAAAATCATCGAACTAAATGGGTGATGTTCCGTTGCCATGTTTGATTACCAGAGGGTGAGGATGGGACAATATTCTAGGTATTGAACAATCCACATGTATCCGTTTTAGCAGTTGATGGGGTAATGAATTCTAGGATTTTGCTTGGTAAAAATGGACAATTTGGCGGGTTGGGGTCCCTAAAACGTGAATCTGACGCTTGCACTTTACCGCAGAGGACAGAGCAACCTGGATCAAATCAGTCGGCATGGGACGAAATCGACTCAAACCAGATCTGGTCATCTCAAGTGAAGTTACACACAGGAAAACCGATAGGAAAATGGTGATCTAAGCAACGGAAACAGGGATTTAAGATGATTTAAGATGATTTCATGGGATTCCAAGCCAAAACAATCATAATCCCATCTAGTCAAATTTTGACTAATCAGACTAGGCGGAACCAAGACGTTGATGACAGCTACAGCTACATCACCGTTCGGTGCCTCATCTCTGCAAAGTTTTCCAGACGTTTCAAAGTCTCCTGGCAGGCCGAAGGGGGAGCATCATGGCTTCCACCGGTTCGGTGGAGCAGTCAGTCAAGGAACATGATGTGATTGATGTGATGTGCTTTAATAATATATCTGGTTAATGGGATTTTGTTATGGGATAATCATCTTAATAATGGGATTATATCATAATAGTGGTTATAATACCTTAACAGCAACATTCTTCTTGGCGCTGACATGGACTCTGATGGAGACATGTGCAAAGGTGGCTCACGGACCATACCATGCGAAGCGACATCAATTTGTTGCCTTTCGGCTTTGTTGAGGCTTCGTCTCCGAAGACGGCTCACAAACTCGCAGATGCATGCGTCTGAAAGTTGTGTAGCCCCAAACCTATTGGTTTCACTCAAATCTGTTCACCGAAGAATTTGGGAAGATTCTTCGGGTCAAGAAAACGTAACACATTTTTTGGGGTCATAACATCTGATAAAGCAGCAACCATAAACCAGGCATAAGAATGTATAGGACCTCCCAAATTGATCAAGTTCAGAAATACAGTAAACCAAACTACAATGATTCCCAAATGAATTGGGATGATTCCCCATATGTAATAATATATATGTATATGTATGTTTATATAAAACCCAGCAGTGTCCAAACAGATTTAGATGCAAGGCCGCAGCTAGTTTGCACCTACAGGCTGAGAGTTAAATAGATGCCTACATTATATATATGTAATGTAATGTAATGTAATGTAAGGTAAGGTAAGGTAAGGTAAGGTGAGGTATGTATGTATGTATGTCCCAGGATATCACATTAATTATGAGCCCCCTATATCCCCAGATTATGTCACCCTGTCACCCTTTTATCCGTATGTGTATGTGTCAAAATAATACTAAATAACTGGAGTAGACAGACTATGAACATCTCAATTAAAAAAACTCACCAAATTGGGAATATCTTGGGTTAATATCCCATAATTCTATTTCAGGATGATTCCAAATATATGCATACATGTTTACAATATGTATAGATATATATATATATACATTTGCCGTTCGCTCCTCGTCTCCAAGATCGGAGCCCATGGAACGCAGCAGCTCACCTTGCCGCTCCAAGGTCCTTGGAGGTGCTATAAACCATCCCCAAGTGGTAGATGTTTTAATCTATTATTGGGGCTCCCCTCATAATTATATATACAAATATATTAATATATATATATAATTATACATATTAAATATATATATATATTATACATATTAAATATATATATATTATACATATTAAATATATATATATTATACCTATCAAATATACATATGCGTGTGTGCGTGTGTGCTGATCCCCTGTTCGACTGATCTCCTATCCTACTGATCTCCTCCTGTGCTATTGTCCCACTGACCTCCTGTCCTACTGATCTCCTGTCCCAAACATCTCCTGTCCCACTCACCTCCTGTCCTATTCATCTCCTGCTCTATTGATCTCCTGTGTACTTTTTCCCTCCAGTGCTACACAATTGTTGATCAGTCTAGTACCAGGTGATATTCATACACAACAACAATCCCATAGGCTTAGTAACGTCACCCCTCCAAACAAAACCTGACAAGGAGGCACCATCCCAGACAGGGAAACCACTACCATTTTCATCCATTTTCTGCTTTTATCACACCTTTCTAGCTTTCCATAGATTAACCATAGATTTTCTGGCGTCCAGGGGTCCAACCCACCAACCTATCCTCATCTGCTGCCAAGCCACAGAGCCCGCATCTGCTGCAGCGATGGCCACCGAGCCGCTGGCAGCGCTTCCGCGGGCTCCATCGAGGCCACATCAGAGGAGCTGTCGTAGGTCTCCTGCATTGATCGCGGGATACTTGGATGTGCATCTCACTTAGTAAGTTGTTGATAAACCTATATATATATATACATATGTATATATATATGTGTGTATGTATATATGTATATATGTATATATGTATACAGTAGAGAATTGAAAATGTAGGTCCTGGAGGGGGGTGACCATATATGTATATATATATGTGTATGTATATATGTATATATGTATACAGTAGAGAATTGAAAATGTAGGTCCTGGAGGGGGGTGACCATATATATGTATATATACATGTGTATGTATATATGTATATATGTATACAGTAGAGAATTGAAAATGTAGGTCCTGGAGGGGGGTGACCACATATGTATATATATATATGTGTGTATGTATATATGTATATATGTATACAGTAGAGAATTGAAAATGTAGGTCCTGGAGGGGGGTGACCATGTGTATATATATATATATGTGTATGTATATATGTATATATGTATACAGTAGAGAATTGAAAATGTAGGTCCTGGAGGGGGGTGACCATATATGTATATATATACATGTGTATGTATATATGTATATATGTATACAGTAGAGAATTGAAAATGTAGGTCCTGGAGGGGGGTGACCATGTGTATATATATATATATGTGTGTGTATGTATATATGTATATATGTATACAGTAGAGAATTGAAAATGTAGGTCCTGGAGGGGGGTGACCATATATGTGTATATATATATGTGTATGTATATATGTATATATGTATACAGTAGAGAATTGAAAATGTAGGTCCTGGAGGGGGGTGACCATATGTATATATATATGTGTATGTATATATGTATATATGTATACAGTAGAGAATTGAAAATGTAGGTCCTGGAGGGGGGTGACCATATATATGTATATATATATGTGTGTATGTATATATGTATATATGTATACAGTAGAGAATTGAAAATGTAGGTCCTGGAGGGGGGTGACCATATATATGTATATATATATATGTGTATGTATATATGTATATATGTATACAGTAGAGAATTGAAAATGTAGGTCCTGGAGGGGGGTGACCATATATATGTATATATATATATATGTATGTATATATGTATATATGTATACAGTAGAGAATTGAAAATGTAGGTCCTGGACGGGGGTGACCATATATATATGTATATATATATGTGTATGTATATATGTATATATGTATACAGTAGAGAATTGAAAATGTAGGTCCTGGAGGGGGGTGACCACATATGTATATATATATATATGTGTATGTATATATGTATATATGTATACAGTAGAGAATTGAAAATGTAGGTCCTGGAGGGGGGTGACCATATGTATATATATTTATATATGTGTATGTATATATGTATATATGTATATATGTATATATGTATATATGTAAATATGTATATATGTATATATGTATACAGTAGAGAATTGAAAATGTAGGTCCTGGAGGGTGGTGACCATATATGTATGTCTATATATATATGTGTATGTATATATGTATATATGTATGCATTAGAGAATTGAAAATGTAGGTCCGTGGCGGGGGGTGACATATATATGTATATTAGCTATGTGTGTGTATAGATGTATATAGGATTACGTAGAGAATGCAACAAGTAGGTCCTGAGGGGGGGGGTGCCTATATATGTATAATATATGGTGACTGTATTATGTATATATGTATACAGCAGAGAAATTGAAATGTAGGGGCTGAGGTGGGGTCCATATATATGTATGATATATATATGTGTATGTCTATAGGGATATATGTCTATATATGGATATATGTCATAACAGTAGAGAAGGAAAAGGTAAATCCTGAAGAGGGGGGACCACTATATATGTATATATATATGTGTATGTATTATATGTAATCTATGAACAGTAGAGAATTGAAAATGTAGGTCCTGGCGGGGGGTGACCAGAATATGTATATATACAGGTGTAGGTATATATGTATTATATGTATTACAGTAGAAGAATTGAAAATGTAGGGTACTGGAGGGGAGTGACCATATATGTGTAATATATATATATATGTGGCAGGGACCTTTTGGTATAATGCGACCGTCCTCCTTGTCTCCCCATATTGTATTGCTGTTCTTTCTCTGGCTGCTCTCTCTCTCTCTCTTTCTCTTTCTGTTTCTCTTTTTTTTTTCTCTCTCTCTCTCTCTCGCTCTCTTTCTTGCTGTTCTTTTCTCTGCGTGCATTTTTGGGCATACGATTCTCTTCGTCTCCCATCTGTGTCCCTACTTGTCTCCCTTGTTCTCTCCAATTTGTATCCTTAATTCCCTCACCATTGCTATTCTTCTCATTTCTTCTCTTAGGCTGCTTTCTGTACTTGTCTCTTAATTGTTGTGCTCGTCTCTGTGCGCTTTGGGACGAAACCTATTGTCCATTACATTCCCCCATCCTCCTCGGTCTCTGCTTCCTCTTGTCTTTCCTCTTCCCTTTCTTTCCTTACTTGTTCATCTATTCTTTCCCAGTGCTTTCTTCACCCTCATTACAGTTGTTATCTCTGGGTGCTTTTAGGACCCAAGATTCTCCTTGCCTCCCATGTGTTCCAATTTGTGTCCTTATTCAGCCAATTTTTCTCCCTTTTCTTACTCCATTTTACTTTCCTAATCATTCTACTCTCTCCGTTGCTGTTTCTGTCTAGGCTTTAGAACCTTCAGGTGCTTTGGGGCCATAAACATTACCGAGTCCATCATCCGGGTCACCAGCATTTTGGGACGGAGAGGATAGTTTTTCTCCTCTTTCCTTTCTTTCCTTACTTGTTCCTCTAGTTTTTCCCAATGCTTTCTTCGCTTCTCTCCTCATTAATTACTGTTGTTCTCTCTGGGTGCTTCTGGACCCTGGACTCCTGATTCTTCTCGTCTCCCATTTGTGTCCGTGTTTGTTCCCCTTGTTCTCTCCAAGTTGTATCCTTCATTCCCTTCTCATTGCCATTCTTCTACCAGGCTGCTTTGGGAAGAATGGATTTCCTGGTCTTTGTTTCTCCCTACTTGCCTTCCTTTGTGGAAGTCTGTGTGATTTGGGACGAAACCATACGAAACCCATTATCCGTTACTCCGTTACATTCCCTTACCCTGGGTCCCTACCATATGTTACCCTACTTGCCTTTCTACTAGTCCCCAACTTGTCTCCTTATCATCTCTCCACTACCGTGCTTCTTTCCAGGTCTCCAGCATTTGGGACGGAGAAGAGAGCTTTTATCCTCTTTCCTTTCTTCCATTACTTGTTGCTCTAGTCTTTCCCATTGCCTTCTTCACTTCTCTCCTCACTACCGTTGTTCTCTTTAGGTGCTTTTGGGACCCAAGATTCTCCTTGTCTCCCACGTGTGTCTAGGCTTTAGGACCTCTAGGTGCTTTGGGGCAATAAACATTCCCGAGTCCTTCATTTGTGTTGCAGTCCTCCTCTCTCCATTCCTTTTGTCCATCCCTGTTACTGTTCTTCTTCCTGGATGCTTCTGGGCACAGGATACTCTTTGTCTCTTCGTCTCCCATTTGTTTCCGTGTTCGTTCCCCTTGTTGTCTCAAACTTGTTTCCGTACTTCTCTATCTATTGCTATTCTTTTCTCTGGGTACGTTTGGGACACAAAGTTCTCCTTGTTTTCCACCTGTTTCCGTGCTTGTCTCCCTTGTTGGCTCCTACTCCCTGCCTGAGTTCTCTTTCTCTGGGTGCTTGATGGCAGCGGATTCTTCTTGTCTGTCATTTGTTTCCATGCTTAGCTGCTTGTCTCCTTGTTTGTTCTACTACTCCCCCCCCGCGCTCAGTGTTCTTCGTTTGGTTGCTTTGGGTACAGGACTCTCCTTGTGTCCCATCTGTTTCCGCGCCCGTCTCTCTGCTTGTTCCCAACTTGTTTTGACACTTCTCTCTTCATTGCTGTTGTTCTCTCTGGGTGCTTCCGGCGCACAGGATGCTCCTTGTCCCTTGTCTGTTTCCGTACTTGTCGTCCTTGTTGTCTCCATTTCGTGCCCTTCTTTCTTTCTTTCTTTCTTTCTGTCTTTCTTTCTTTCTTTCTTTCTTTCTTTCTTTCTTTCTTTCTTTCTTTCTTTCTTTTCTGTCTTTTTTTCTTTCTTTCTTTCTCTCTCTCTCTCTCTCTCTTGCTGTTCTTCTTTCTAGGTGCTTGTTGGGACCCCTGATTCTTCTCGTCTGCCATCTGTTTCCGTACGTGTCTTCCTTGTTCTCTCCAAGTCGTATACTTGTCTCCCTTGTTCTCTCCAAGTTGTATCCTTAATTCCCTCCCCATTGCTATTCTTCTCTCAGGCTGCTTTGGGAAGAATGTTTCTCCCTACTTGTCTTCCTTCGTATAAGTCTCCTTGCTTGTCTCCTGTGCTTGTCTCTGTGTGCTTTGGGACGAAACCTATTATCCGTTACATTCCCGTACTGTACCCTCGGTTACTACCACATGTTACCCTACTTGCCTTCCTACTTGTTTCCAACTTATCTCCTTATCATCTCTCCACTACCGTGCTTCTTTCCGGGTCTGCAGCATGTGGCACGGAGAGCAAGGTTTCTTTCCTCTTCCCTTTCTTTCCTTACTTGTTCATCTATTCTTTCTCAGTGCTTTCTTCACCCTCATTACAGTTGTTATCTCTGGGTGCTTTTGGGACCCAAGATTCTCCTTGCCTCCCATGTGTTCCAATTTGTGTCCTTATTCAGCCAATTTTTCTCCCTTTTCTTACTCCATTTTACTTTCCTACTCATTCTACTCTCTCTGTTGCTGTTTCTGTCTAGGCTTTAGAACCTTCAGGTGCTTTGGGGCCATAAACATTACCGAGTCCATCATTTATGTCCCTTCCGTCACCTTGTTGCAGTGCTCCTCTTTCCATTCCTTGTTGTCCCTCCCTGTTACTGTTATTCTTCCTGGGTGCTTCTGGGCACAGGATACTCTTCGTGGTGCTCGATGGCAAAGGATTCTTCTTGCCTCCCATTTGTTTCATACTTGTCTCCTTGTCTGTTCCCAACTTGTTTCTTTATTTTTCTATCTCCATTGC